TTTACACTTTAACTTCAATTTCTTTTACTCTTACAATACAAAATCAGCATTTACTCAATTTTTAAATAACTCAAATTTAAAAATGGAAGTTGTTTGTGTCTGAATAGAAAGTGAAATTTTTTTCCTTAGCATTTTTCWAAATGGAAATTCTAAAAAATGAAACCTATTCTGCCAACAAAAAATTTAGTATAACTTCCAACTCCAGCCAAGAAAAAATAATGGATGGTTATAGAACTTATACTTCCATTATCAACAATTATGAAACTACACAGAACAAAAGAAACAATTGTTTTCAGGCACTGGTCTCAGAACAAGACGGGGTTGTGATACTTGAAAAAAGGAAAACATGAGTTGAGTTTCCCATGCACTCTGGTTTCTGACTGATGACAATTTCAAACTGCAACATAGAAGAGTAGGAGTCTACATAGAGAGCAAGTGGGTAGAATAAAATAAGAGTTGGGTTCAGGGCTGGTGAAGGGGCAGGAATTTACAGTGCAAATATTCTAGACAGGTATCCCTTTCAGTCTTTGACTAAATACTAAGCTACTGTATAATACTATTAGCCTAATTAAAATAGCTACTGGAGGACGGTGAGCTTAATGGGAATTTTAGAGCTGAGCAATGTTTGGGTTCAAAACAGAAGAGAACAAGGGAGGGGAAGAGAGGAAAGAAAGAGGAAAAGAGGAAAGGGAAGGCAAAAAAAAATTATATACTGGAAAAAAAATTAAAATGCAACTACGGACTTTTCATTAGAAAAATCTTGTGTTGTTAGACATCTTCAATGATAATTTCAAAGTGTTGAAAGGAAAAAGACTGTCTTCATAGAATTCTGTAAACAACAAAATAGTTACCAAAAATGAAAGTGAAGATATTTTCAGATAAATAATTACTACAAAACTCTCCAAAAGGAAATATGTACCACTTCCATCCACTTTTGATTATGTTGCTGCATATAATCATTTAGTATTTTCTCCCTACTGGCCTGAATGCTGAAGCAGGAATTTTGGCTTGTTCATAGCTGCATCCTTTGCACCTAGAGCTATGACTAATGCTTACTGGAGTTGTACAAATAAATTTTTAATAAATCATTGCTGTCAGCAGTTTGTAATTTACCCTAGGGTATGATTTAGAAGCATATTTCCAATATACCAAACAGTACAGTAACATATAATTTTCTGAGTACTGCCTTACTAAGTACTCCTKGTCATATCATTTTTTAAAAAATCCATAGACTGATACTACTACCAAGTCTCTTATCATGTTTGTCCTATTAAATTTTTTATTAAAAATATTATAAGAAATCTCATTTCTTGTTGAATTGCATTATGAACAGAGAATATATTCTATATGGTTCTAATTCTTTTTAATTTTTTGCATTTCTTTATGACCTAGCAGAGAGTCAATTCTATTTTGGGGTGGGTGGGGGCTTGTGGGTACTGGGGATTAAACCCATGAACACTCTATCACTAAGCTATATTTCCAGCCCTTTTGTTTGTTTGTTTGTATCTTGGGGSAGAGTCTGGCTAAGTTGCCCAGGCTGGCCTCAAACTTGTGATCCTTCTGCCTTAGCCTTCCAGTAAGTGCAGGGCTTAGAGTCAAATATTACAAATTTTCTATATGTGCTTTAATACATGTGTTTATGTGTGTGTGTATATATATATACACACACACACACATATCTATCTATATATATATATATATATACACACATATATATATCTTTATATCTGATACATATATATCATATATATATATATCCTTAATATATATGAGATATATATATAGATCTCTCTCTATCTATCTATCTATATAGATCTATATATATATATATATGTATATATATATATATAAATAATCAAGCAATAAGGGTTGAGGATGATACTGTTCAAATATTCTATCCTTACGAACATTTTGTTGGCTTGTTCCATTACTGATATATATGTGTTAAATTCACTTCTACAATCATTTATGTATTCTTTCTTGTAGTTCCATCAATTCTTGCTTTATAAATTTGGGGCTATATTATTAGATCCATAGAAATTTAGAATTGTTATATCTTCTAGGTAAATTAAAACTCAAATCCTTATAAAATGCATTTATGTTACAAATCAATAACAAAAAAACTTAAAAGCCCAAAAATACATTTTGAAATTTAAACACCTACATTTAAATATCTGCTGTGAAAAGAAAAAGTATTTACAGGTTTTTAAATTAAGAACTAAATAAGAATGAAAATACCAATCATATATCAGAATTTGTAGGAGATATCAGGGATGGGTTGTGGTTCAGTGGTAGAGTGCTTGCCTAGTATGAATAAGGCACTGAGTTTGATCCTCAGCACCACATAAAAACAAAATAATGTGTCCACCTAAAACTAAAAAAAAAAAAATAAATGAATAAATAATTTTTAAAAAACAAGAATTTGTATGACATATCAAAAGCACTTACAAAAGTACTTGGAGTTATTGCTCTCAGTTATAACAGAAATTTGGAAATTAGCGAACTAATTATTAATTAATTAAACAGAAAAGAACAGATATAGCATTTTTAGTCGTATGTGTTTGGAGGTTCTCTCATGTTCAAGCCATTTCATAGCTGCAGTAGTGTTTGAAGCCCTGAATGAACTGTGGGTATGTGTAAGCCAAGGTCTAAACCAGAAGTAGGCYCTTTGGAGAACTCCAGTGTAATCTCACCAATGTGAGACTGCTCCCTTGGTTTGGCAGACATTATGCTCAGAGAGAGTTCTGTGATACCCCTGAATTATTGGCTCAGACAGCCCATGGTTCAACACAGGTGGAGAGAGATACCAGTGCCCCAACTCACCCCGTGGCACCAGCTGCCTCCAGGAGGAAGAATTGCAGCACAAGTGCTAGATCCACAATTAGGCCAGCTTCCCCACAGCTGTGACTTCTGGTTTACCGTGAAGAACCCCTCCTCACCATAAATTTCTTTGGTGTGTTTCACTATAAATAAAGTATTCACAGGCTTTTCCCCTTTGTTAGGAGCAGACCCATCAGGTCCCTTCCACCCATAAAGCACCCGCTCAAACTRTATTTCTTGTGTCCTTTATCTTTATCTCTTAGTACTACTTTTTCAGACTTTTATTTCCAGCCAGCCCACACTATGAAGGTTACCTATTCCTTCCTCACACAGGCTGTGGCCAAGACAACAGAATGACAAGTGCAAGAAGTCAGAAGTTAATTATTTGAAATAATTAATAATACAATGAGAAAATTTCAGTGGAAAAAAATTTGTAAGCACCAATGAATATTAGGGACAGTTAGTAAATAAATAAATAACTATAGGTTTGGAGGAGACCAAATAAGAGATACACAAATTTATCCCAATAAATTTGAAAATTTAGATAAAATAATTCCTAGAATTTACAGAAGTTGTATAAATACACTTTTAATAAACCATTGGCAGTTTGTAATTTATGTTAAGTAAGATTTAGTAGTATATTTCCAATATACCAAACAGTATTCCTGGAAAAATTACAACTTTACAAAGCTGATCTAAGAGGGACTAGAAAATGTGAATGATTTGACAATTCTTAATGAAATTGAATCAATTATTTTAAATGGAACATAAAGAAAACATAAGGCTCAGCTGATTTTACAATTTTTCTTTTAAACATTCCAGGAGTAGATCAATGCAATGTTATTCAATTTCTTACAGAGAATGTGAAAAGGAAAACTTTTCCTCAACTCACTCCATGAGATTTTAGTCAATGTAGCCTAAAAATCAAAATTAAATTAGGACAGTGAAGCAAAGAAAAGAACAGAGTGATCTCTCCCACAGCATAAAATGTAAAAGTTACTCACAAATTTTTGGCAAAGTAAATTTATCAGAATGTCTTTTTCTTTGTTTGTTTATTAACATTTGTTAAATGTTTTTTTTTTGTTGTTGTTGTTGTTGTTTGTACCAGGGATTGAACTTAAGGGTCCTTAACTGCTGAGCCACAACCGCAATCCTTTTTTGAGAGAGGGTCATATTAAGATGATTAGAGCCTCACTAATTGCTGAGGCTGGCTTTGAACTTGCAATTTTCCTGCCTCAGCYTCCCAAACCTCTGGAAGAATGTATTGTTAAAAGATGCATACAATCCAGGAATGCAAAGATAAGTTGACAAGGAAAAAAATCTATAAATTAATTTGCCATATTGACACATTAAAGAAAGATATTTGATCTTCTCACAAATATAATCCCATGTGTAATTTTTTWAAAAAAATTTCTTTATAAAATATAAGAAAGGACCTTCTTTAACATGAGGAAGATTATAAGCCATTCTTAATGATAAATATTAAATTATTCCCTTTATAATCAGGAGACTGAATGACCATCATTACCATCAACACCATTCTAGCAAGAGAAGTTGATTAATCAAAGATATAAGTGTTAGAAAAGAAGAAATAAAATTGCCAGAATTCAAAGCATTATCTTTGAAGTAACATCTTATGTGGAAAATACAGTTTCTGTTCCCCCAACTTTCCCACATTACAATTTACTTGGTTCTTCTCAAGCTTTAAACACATCTCTATCCTTGCTAAAAGCCAGAAGACCACTGCCTGAGCCTGTTTAAAGTCACAGATCCCATCATACATGCCATTCTAACACATAAGACTCTATACAGAGAGCATATCAAAGCACCAGACACTTGGGAGCTTTATGGGCAAATCCAAACTGATATAATTTTTAGGAATGGACTGAAAGAGTAGATTTGGGAATACATATATCACCTGAAGAGAACCCAAGAGTGAATCAATATGTGTACTTTGCTGTGCTTATTTCTTAAACCCAAGGAAGTTTGAGAATGAGCATACCACCAATCAAGCTTCTCTGGACCTATGAAAGCAATTCTCTAACAGTTTCTTTAAGGGGAGAAAATTTAGCAGCACAGTAAAGCGGAGTAGGAGGATACAGCCAGCWTTAAGTCTCCCTTTCATCTCTCAGCCTTCCCCTTTCCTCCTGTTCTTTTAAAACTTCTCCTTAAAATAAATTATCTTCGTCCCTTTGTATAAGGCACAGCAGTTTCAACCATGGAATTCCTTCTTCAAAAGAAATCTCCCTGAAAGCTTAAGATACAGAACAAATAAAGGTGCTACTGTTTGATTCAAGCAATAGTGGGAGGCCAGAAGCTCATTCTGACACCTCCCCCCCCCACACACACACACACGGGGGGGGGGGGAGTGGGGGGCAGTAGGGGGTGGCAATATAAGTACAGCCTGTGAACCCTGAAGCTGAGAGAATATGAGAGTTCATTTGGTTCTGCTACTTAAATGTTCAAGCACTTAATGGAATGCCTTTGCAAGTTGCTTTCAGAGGAACAGATTCAAAGCAGACAGAATTAAGCAAATACAAAGTTACAGAATAAGGGTAGAAATGTTGTAWCTATAGCAATTAGTTTCTGACATAGATAATAAAACACAATTTAAAAAACTACTAGCAATGAGGATAAGKGTTTACCTTTTCAGGATCTCTTTTGCCTGAACTTCAGAAATATGTATACCCAGTGATTTCACCGCAGCAATTATATCTGAAACCTCTATTACTCCTTTAAGAAATGAAAAAAAAATCACATTAAAGTATCTGAAAAGATAATGAGGCAAACTATACTTAGAGTGCAATAGTCTTTTAAAAAGTTCATCAGTCCTATATGTCTATAATCCCAAATCAATAACCCCATGCTTAAGAAGCTCTAAAAAGTCAAAAATTATTTGTAAATTTAGAATCAAAAGTTTATTTGGTAGCAAAACCCAAATAAGACTGATGTGAGGTTAACTTTGGTCAATTATTTATCTGATGTAATGTGAACATTCATGTTTCACTGCAGAAATATCATGACTATAATTGCATGATGGTGACCCAGATCCCACTTGTATTATTACATAATATGTATGTATACACTATATTACTTTTCTAAAATCCAAATTCTAGATTTCAAAACACATCTGACCCCCAAGTAGATCTATAACAGATTCTTGATTATTATATCTATTTGGAAAGAACTGAAAAAGCTAATTCTAATTCTGAAGACCTGATTCAGGGGCATGAAAAGAAGGCCACTCAATAAAGACAAAATACTTAATATACAACATACTTAGAATAAAAAGCCAAACACTTTTATGTAAACACATCTTATGTTAAATAACTCAAATCAACAAATATAGTTAATACAATTTCACTATGCTGTACATTCTCACATTGCTGGATGTCATGAAGGGAAAATTAAATATTCCATATTCACCTCAAACTCTAAAACACAAATCTAATCACATTATTCTCAAAACCCAAAATATCTTTGATTCCTCTCTCTCATAAAGATAATTGAGGCTATTCAATCTTTTTTTTWAATTTTTTACATTTGAATCAGTTGGGATATAATTTCTAATTTTTCTGAGTGTACAGTTTGCAGAATCACATTGGTCATGCAGTCATGTATATACACACAGTATTAAYAATGTCTATTTCATTCTAATACATATATAATTTTTAATGAAAAAGGTCAACTTTAGTGTCTCCTACTTGAAAAATAGGTAATACAAAAAAGCTATCACAAATTCAACCACACATTCATTTGTATTTTATTAACAAGGGCTATATATGCTTACATTCATAAATAATAGTCCACATAAGTATACAACATTACTTAGCCCAAGACCTTTATTCAGACATACAATCTCAGACTCCTTGCAGTGACTCCAAGGCCCCAAGTGTTCCATTCCAAGATCTATAGGATGGAATTTACTGACTATTCCTCAGCTTAGAAAATAAAGCGTCATCAACTGGGAAAGCATGCATCCTCTGCCTTATAATTCATTACAATCTTCAAACACTATATTCATGAATTCAATTCAGTAATTTTTAACAATTTGACAACCTACCCTGCATGTCTCTATTTTAAATGTGAAAGAATTCAAGGGTTAACAAAATCACCAATGAGTTTACAAATTTATATGAATGCTCTAATTATTTTTTTAAAATATCACACTGTGTTAAATGTATGTTAAGAGAAGAATTACAAATAGCGGCTGGGGTTGTAGCTCAGTGGTAGAGTGCTTGGTTGCCTAGCACATATGAGGCACTGGGTTCAATCCTCAGCACCACATTAAAAAAAAAGAAAAAAAGAACGTTTAAAATTTTTTAATTAAAAAAAGATTTATAAATAAAATGTGATGAAAAGGTAAAGAAAGGTGTAAGAAACAAGAGTTACAAATAAAGTACCATAAAGGATAAATAAGAGACCATCAAAGAACTCAGATGCTTCTAATTAAGTGTAACACAGAAGGGAAAATATATTCATTTCCGAAGGCTAYTGTAACAAAGTACCATAAGTTAGTGCCTTAGCTCACAGTTCTGGAAGCCAGAAGTTTAAAATCAAGTTGTCTGAAGGGTCATGTACTTCTGAAGATGCTAGGGAAGAACCTGCTCTATGCTTCTCTCCTGGCTTCTGATAGCCTCAGGCACTCCTTGGCATTTAGAAAATCATTCAGATCCCGTGTCCCTGTCTTTTCAGTCTAAATTTCTTTCTAGTAGGGGCACCAGTCAGAATAGGGCCCTGCTAATGACCTCATTCTAACTTGATTGCTTTTAGAAAGATACTGGGAACGTACATTAGGAAGAGACACAATTAAACTCCTAACACATGAAGTATTTTCTTTCAATTCCTCAATAAGTAGTATGGCCAAAGTAAACTAGCTGAACTATACACAAAGTTGGAAACTGTAACATCAGCAATAACAACAACTCAGCAACAGAGCAGACAGCTCAATCAAAGCAGCACTTCTACAGGGCTTCTGGAACCTGAGCTCTGTAGTCCAGGTGGGCAGCAGTAGAGACTCAACTCTAACTACTGTTACAGCTCAAAGTTTCAAAACAATGAAGCCAGTAGAATAGAAATGGTAATTCTCCCACAACATTACCTCTGCAGGATGCTGAGGGCTGAGCTGTGATGTTCCAACTTGACTTGTCAAGACCTTATTACTTGGATCTTAATATATCACTTYGAGACTTTCTCATTGCTGTATAACYTATTTCCTTCAGAACAAGTACTCTCTACTACCAAGATCCATAAGCAGTTATATGCAGTTTTACCAGAACAGTGTTATATTTTTCTAATAGCATCCTAATTTTACTGATTAGCTGACAGGATTTTCAGCTTCACAAATGATGATCATGATGGTAACAATCAACAACAGAGTAAAATTCCAGAACAGCATTATAGTAGATCTGTCAGTCTTAGATCTGCAGATGGCCAGGTCTGATTTGCAGATGTTGGTTAGTACTTCTAAAATTTCTGAGTACTATTTCAGTAGAAATAAAGGTTCAGAAATGTCTAAATTTTCTTCTGGAAAGTAAATGGAAACTGGACCACTGAGATTTGAGTATGAAGGGAAATGTGGTCACTTTTGTATTCTCTAGCCTCTAAAGCCCCAGATGTTCAGGTTACACCCTGTTTCATTCAAGAATCCATCAGTAGAATCCTTTAAGTAGCTTTTTAGTTCCATGTTGAATTTTTCAGTCATCAAAAATTAGATTTCATACAACTTAAAAATTAACATATATTTCTTAAGTAGGGTATAATAAGGTTCTAATTACCCAAGGAGGTTTAACTACATATGGATGCAGAAGTAGTATTTTATTTTTATATTCAGTCTCTCTAAGAATCTGTACAAAATATAACAGAGTAGATCTTTCCTCTTCAAATCAGCATGGATATAGATGGCACTATTATTTATAAAAGATTAAAAATGTCCTAAATAATATGGGGATTGTTGAATAACTAATATTTATAAATGGAATATTTCACAGTAATTAAAATTGTAAAAAATATTAAATGAAGTGAAAATGCTTACTATATTACATTAAACATACAAGATAGAATGCAAAATTATATACATAGTATGACTGCAATTTTATTTAAAGAGAGGTAAGCAGAGAGAGAAATCAAGAAAAAAAACAGAAAGTCTTGAAGAAAATGAAAAACATAACAAAATGTGAAAATTCATCTCTAAATTTCAGGGTTATAAGAAATTTATACTTTCTTTCAGGAGCTTCTCTGTTTTATCCAACTCTCCAGCAAGAGATAAATTTTCACAATCAGAGAAAAATATCATTTTCTAAATTACCATAATAATTTTAGCTCATATATGACAAAAAAGAGGAAGGCCTCCTCACTAAGTAAAGAAGCTTTAAATTCAGAAGATACAAACTTCCACAAAAATTATTTTATTAAAAAGACAGAAACCACATAGAAATATAAGGCTAATAAATATAGTTTTGTGTTATTCCTAGGATGCTAAAAATTACTGCTAGACAACTAGTAGAAATAATGGAATCTTTGATAGCAGGAATAAATTAAAGGCTATCGAAGTTGCCCTCTAGTACTGACACTTATTCACATTAAGCTAACTGTGAAGGAAGCACACACACACCATCATTATTTTTGTCCAGACTCTTAAATGCCAGCTTCATTTTTTTCTCATGGTCTTCAAGGTACCGCACAAATTCTCCAAAGTCCAATCCTGAATCCTGATTGGCATCTCCTGCCTTAAGAATATCCTACAAAAGTAAAGAAAATCATTGTAGAAGTATATTATAAGTCAAGTCACTAAACCATGTGAGCATTTGTACATTTCACTTACAGTAATTATGAATGCCATAAGCATCCATTATCTATGTTTTCTGTCACAACTACAAAGTACATTAAGAAATTTTTAAATCTGTGTATCAAGTGGTATTTTTTAATTTGTGCAATAGTAGAGTCAATAGCCATTGTGTCATCTCAAATAATTATGAACTTTAATAAATAAGTATTTGCCTGAGTTAAATAATGAATGTCAAGTACCTCACAGGAATAAACATAACACATAGCCTTTGCCATCAGGGATAAAATGTGAACTACATGTGATAAAATATGTGAAATTCTAGTATATCCCCTAGCTTAATGGTTTGAGACCTAGCCTTGTAAAATAAGAATGGGAGCTAGATACTGATGGTGTCTATTATAAAATATGGTATCCATAGGCCCTTAATTTTAAAAATTATGTAATTCATAATTATCTTTTACTGAATTGAAAAAATAAATGCCATGAGCTGAGAACTGGACTTGTGCTAGGATAAGAAAACAAGTCAGAGGCAAGTTAAGACTAAAAGAAACAACCCATTACCAAAGACAATATGTAAGGTGACATAATGGGAATATATTCAAGGTACAGAAAGGTTTGGAGAGGCTCTGGAGAGTCTTCACAGAGGAAGACTGCTTGAGCCAATATTTGCAAAGAAAAACAGGCATTAGAACAATGAATCCAAGAATTTGTGACAGTACTTGCATGGAAGCAGAACAGATGCTAATTAGAAAAAAAAACATGGAATAATAATAACAGTAGTGATAATAGCTAATATTTGTTGAGCATTTACTTCTAAGCAACTTTATATGTATAAACTCATTTAATATTCATAACAAAACCTGTACAGTTCCAATTTGCTAAGGACAAAATACATAGAAGAAAAATAGATCAGAAAAGCTGGGGAGAGACCATGAGAAGACTTATATGCCACAAAAAGKATTTCAAATTAATTCTCCAGGTTAGTAATTCCCAGTAAGTAGGATACATATAGTATATACATGAAAATTGTGTTAAATTGCACTAAATCACAGGGTAATAAAATTATTCCTCTCTCAATTATCTTTCAATCCTTGTAATCATATCATGGAAATTCTCTCAAATTTGTTATAATATGCCTCAAAACTTGACAACATTTCACAGAAAAAAATCAGAGGGGATGCCTCTACTTCATTAGACAATATGGTATTTCATCACAACTTAAGAATACTAATTTATTTTCAGTTTATTTATTTTATGCTTACTTTTAATCTAGTAGCTTTCTACTTATTCCAGAGACAATGTTTTGTGTTAAAATTAATTCTTGTGAGTGATGTCATCAAGGTGATGAAATAAAAAGTCTCAGGTTCTCCTCTCTGCCACCAGAAACTTCAACTAGCAACTAGTCATAGATAAGAACATCTTTTTTGAAATCCCTATTACTTGAAAGCAAGCTTGGAACACCTGCATGGCTAAATGAAAACTGAATTAGAAAGTAAAAAGAACAGTCTCACTTCAGGTATGCTGTCTCTTCCCCTCCCCCAAGTTGGCACATTGCCAGGTAGAATTCCATTTCTGCAGAAAGAAAAGGGAACCAGAAGCAGTCATCTAGCTTCCCTGGTATTCTAAGACACTTACCAGGRAGCCCACTCAACTCTCACCTTACAAGGAACACTGCAGGTAGCAGCATGGCTAGACTACTGAGGGCCTAGTAGGAGGAAAAAAAAGAGTCTGGTACTATAGTAATCAGTGTGTGATTCTTCATGGTATCTCCATGTTACTGCCAGCTATGGCATTTGATCAAAGACAATAGTCAACTTTGATCAAAGAAAATAGCTTATCTGCAAAGCTGAGCTGGGTGTCTTCAGAAACATGGTAAGAAATTCAACCTAGTTCGAGATAGCTGTGCTCCATGCCCAGCCTCAGAGCCCTCTCCAACAATCCCATACATGAAGGGAGATGCTTGCCCCTACCCATTTCAAAAAAGCATAGAGGTTAGACCTGATGGACACAGGAAGTCAAGCAGTGTTTCATCATGTCTATAACCCCAGAAACTTAGGAGGCTGAGGCAGGAGGATTGCCAGTTCAAGGCCAACCTCAGCAACTCAGTGAAACCCTCAGTAACTTAGCAAGACCGTATCTCAAAATAAAAAGGGCTGGGGATGTAGTTCAGTGGTAAAGCACCCGTGGGTTCAATCCCCAGTATAAAGGGCGGGGGAGGATGGCCTTCCCTAAAACCTTGCCAAGGCAGGGAGAATACCACCTCAAGCATTTTGGAGAGCATAAAGGGCTATACTTGCATGACCTAAGAGATCAGACAGCCACTAACTCAGCCAAAAGCCTACCCCATGGCTCCACCCTACAAGAAGTCAATACTTAATGGTATATTTTCTAAGGAACATAGCCTCACCTGTCCCAAGCAGTGACTCCTCCTAAATTTGGAGCTCAGCATGCAGCCTTCCAACTACAGATCCCAAATAGGGAATTTTCCAGTCAAGGAATACATGCTGTGACTGTCATTGAAGTACTCAGCCAGGAGCATGGCCCAACAGCAGAGCAAAGATAGCACTACCAATTAGAGAACCTGAAACAAGCTCTGCCTGCCTAGGGTAATCACCACCTGGTCCTTTCAAAATCACAGGCTAAACTAAATAGTGACCATCTAGTCCCTGACAAAGAACATCTATAAAGGCTAGAAGAGGAGGTTATCTCCTCAAATTCACAAACGGCAATGCAAGGAGATAAGAATTACAAAGAATTAGGGAACCATGGTACCTCAAAAGAAACCAGCAAGGCTCTGATAATAGACTCTATGAAAGTATAGATCTATGAAGGGCTATTAGTCACCTTTGCATTACTATAACAAAATACCTGAGGCAGATAATGTATGAAGAGACAGGTTTATTTAGCTCATAGTTTTGGAGATTCAAAAATCAATGATTGGGCACCTACATTGGTTTGGCCTCTGGTGAGGGTGGCAGATGGTGGCACATTGTGGCAGAAATATATGTAGAAGCAAACAGTCATATCCTAAACCAGAGCACAAAGAAAGAGAGGACAGGGGTCCCACAATMCTTTTGAGGGAATTTCCACAATGACATAAGGATCTCTACAAGGTCCATCCTCTTAAAGTACTTCCTAACACCTCCATCTTATGGACCAAGGTTTTAACATGTGGACCCTTAGATGACATTCAAACCACATCCAAATCATAGGAATGACTGACAAAAAAATGGAATAATCCTCTTAAAGAAATTCAGTAAACCACTAGAATATATGAATATAAAATGCAATGAAATAAGAAAAACAATATACATGGGCTGGGGCTCAGTAGTAGAGTGCTTGCCTCTCATATGTGAGGGGCTGGATTCCATCCTTGGTACCACATAAAAATAAATAAAGATACTATGTGTTCATMTACAACTAAAAAAATATAAAAAAGAAAAAACAATATGCAAAGCAAGCGGTTTGACAAAAAATTAGAAACAAGAAAAAAGAACCAAAGAAAACTCTTCGAAATGAATAATACAATGATAGAACTGAAAATTTCAAGAGAAAACTTCTACAGCCAATTCAAGCAGAAGAAAGAATCAATGAGCTGTAAAACAGAATATTTTACATTATCCTATCAAAGGAGCAAAAGTGCAAAACAACAAAGAAAGCATATAGGAATTATAGGAACCTAATGAGAGACCACAAATCTTCACATAATACGAGCTGCAGAAAGTGAAGGGAAGAAGGAGAAAGTATATTTAAAGATAATGGCTGAAAACTTCTCAAATGTGTGGGTAGAKTCCAACATCTAGGTGCAGGAAGCTCAGAGATCTCCAATTAAATTCAAGTCAAAGAAATATAATAATCAAACTATCAAAAATCAAAAATAAATAAAAAGGGCTGGGGTTGTGGCTCAGTGGTGGAGCACTTGTCTAGCATGTGCTAGGCACTGGGTTCAATTCTCAGCACCACATATAAATAAGTAAATAAAATAAAGATCTATGAACAGATAATAAAAAATATAAAGAAAGAAAGAAAAATTCTGAGAATAGTAAGAGATAAGAAATATATACAAAGGAATGTCAAAACAGCTATCAAAATATTTCTCAGCAGAAACCCTGTAGGCCAGCAGAGAATGATATGAGATATTCAAAGCACCAAAAGAAAAAATTGCCATCCAAGAATATTTTCCCCAACAAAGCTGTCTTTAAGAAATGAGGAAGAGACAGGTACACTGGCATAGGCCTGGAATCCCAGAAGCTCAGGAGACTGAGATAAGGATTGCAAATTCAAAGCCAGCCTCAGCAACTTAGCAAGGCCCTAAGCAACTTAATGGGACTGTCTCAAAATTTTTACAAAATTGAAAAAAAGGGCTTGGGATGTAGCTCAATAGTAAATTGCCCCTGGTTCAATCCCTAGTACCAAAAAGAAGAAGAAATAGAAATAGAAATAAAAGCTAAGGAAGTTCATCACCACTAGACCTGCCTTATAGGAATTTCTAAAGGAAATTATTTAAGTTGAAACAAGAGACTGCTAATTGATAACACAAAACAAGAAAAATAACTCAATGGTATAAATGAAAAAGTACCATATTCAGAATATTCTAGGACTGTAATGATGGCATATGAAGCAATATTGACTCTAGTAAAAGGGCAAAAAGATAAAACTAAAATAGCTAAAATAAATTATCAAAGGGTACACATTATGAAATGATGTAAATTCTTATATCAAAAACAGAATTGTGAAGAGTGGAGGAAAACTGCAGAGTTGTTGTATGCAATCAATGTTAAACTATTATCAGCTTGACCTAAACTATTGTAAGATGTTCTGTCAGCCCCATGTTAACCACAAAAAAAATTTATGTTTAGTAAAAGAACAAAACAAAAATAGAAAGGATTCAAAGCATACCAGTACAGAAATGATCAAACTGCAAAGGAAGACAGTGAGAGAGAAACAAAGTTTTAAACAACCAGGAAACAACAAACAAAATGACATTAGCATGTCTTGCCTATTAATAATGTAAGTGGATTAAATTCTCTAATAAAGACATAGAGCATCTGGGGGGATGGGATGATTAAATGAATTCTAGATAGGGCAAAGGGGAAGAAGGGAGGGAGGGGAAGGAAGGGGGCACAGAGGTAGGAAAGATGGTGGAACGTGATGGTTTTCATTACCCTGAGCACAGGTATGAAGACACAAAGGATGTGACTCTACTTTGTGTACAACCAGAGATATGAAAAATCGTGCTCTACATGTGTAATATGAATTGTAATGCATTCTGTTGTCATATATAACAAATAAAAATTTAAAAAAAATAAAATTTAAAAATATTAATAATCAAAAAAATTAAGATCAAAAATGTYTTTTCAGTCAAAAGGATTGAAATCATGAAGAAATGTTATTAAATTGTATTGCAATATGTGAAATAGAAAAAAAAATAGATTTTAGGAAATTATGAAGATTCATATAAGTTAATATAAAACATTTCTAGTGTTTTGAGGCATCTCCATTCTGCTTCCCAGAGTGACTGCAATAATTTGTAGTCCCACAACAATGTATCAAAATGAACTCAACTTTTATGTACCTTTTCTGCCACATCTTCACCAGCATTTATTATTATATTCTTGATCACTGCCATTCTGACTGGAGTAAGATGATATTTTAATATAGCTAGGGAAGTGGAACATTTTTTCATATACTTGTTGGCAATTTGTGTTTCTCTTTTTGAGAAGTGTCCCTTTTGTTCTTTTGTCCACTTATTGACTGGGTTTTTTGTTTGTTTGGTAAACTTTTTGAGTTCTTTATATTCTGGATATTAAACCCTTCTAAACAGAACAGTTGACAAAAGATTTTCTCCCATGCTATACGCTGTCTTTTTGTGCTCTTACTAACTTCTTTTGCCATGTAGAAGCTTTTCAATTTGATGCTATTACACTAATATATTCTTGGTTTTATTTCTTAAGCTTTAGGAGTCTTGTTAAAGAAGTCAGTGCCCATATCAATATGTTGAAGTGTTGACTTTATGTTTTTTTCTAGAAGGTGCAGAGTTTCTGATCTAATTCCTAAGTCTTTGGTCCACTTTATTTGACTTTTGTGCTGGATCAAAAATAGGGATCTAGTTTTATGACTGGTTTTTTTTTTGAAAGACTCAACTATTTGTTGTCTACTTAAGACACCCCACTTTTAAGGACACCCATAGACTAAAAGTGAAAGAATGGGAAAATATGCTCAATGCAAACAAAAAACAAAACAAAAAGGCAAAGATATCTATCAGATGACATAAACTTTAAGTCAAAAATTATAAAAAGAGACAAGGATATTAAGTAACAACAAAGGGGCCAACCAATCAAGAGGATATAACAATTAAAACATTCATACAACACTGAAGCACCTAAATATATAAAACAAATATCAAAGGATCTGAAGGGAGAGAGAAAGTACAATTCAATGATAGGGTATATACCTCACTTTCTATATTGGACAGATTACCCAGACAGGTAATAAATAAATAAACAATTGAGCCTGAACAATACTTTCAACCAAATGGACCTAACAGATATATACAGAACATTTCATTCAACAACAACAAAACATTCATTCTTCTCAAAAACAAATGGAACATTCTCCAGGATAGATTCACATGTTAGGGCACAAATAAGCCTTAGCAAATTTAAGAAGACTGAAATAATATCAAGTATTTTTTTATATTCACAATAACAAAACAATAACAGAAGGAATTTCAGAAAATTCACAGAACAGGTAAAGTAAAACAAACKAATGTTCCTTTAACTAGACTAAGAGAGAAGAAATGTCATGAATAAATGAAATCAGAAATGTCAGAGAAAATATTACAACTGTACCAAAAAATTACAAATGATGATACTATACAAATGAGATCCTATAAACATTATATGCCAACAAATTGGGTATCCTAAAAGAAATAGATAAATTCCTACACAATCTACCAAGACTRAATCTAAAGAAATTGAAAATCTGAATAGACCAATAATGAGTAAATATATTTAATTTGTATTAAAAAGAGGACCTCGATGGCTTCACTTTTAAAACACTTTTTATTGGTATGGAGGATTAGATCCAGTGGTATTCTACCACTACATTGCTAGTCCTTCTTATTTTTTGAGAAAGGGTCTCACTAAATTGCTTAGGCTGAACTTGAACTTGTGATCTCCCTGCTGTATTCTCCTAAGTCACTGAGATCATAGGCATGTGTTGTCATATCCAGCTGCTACCAAATGTTTAAAGAAGAACTAATACTAGTTGTTTTCAAACTCTTACATGAAATTGGGACCCATCTTATTCAAACCATGTACAAAACTAACTCAAAATAAATTAAAAACTTAAACATCAGACCTAAAGCTATTAAACTACAAAAGAAAACACACAATAAAAACTACATGACATTGGACAATGATTTCTTAGATTTGATTCCAAAAGGGCAGAAATTACCATTAATSCAGCGATTCTCTTTCTGCACAAACACTAGGAAGAGTTAAAGGCAGTATCTCAAAAAGATATTTATGCACCTATCTTCACAGCAGTATTAGCCACAATAATAGTATTAGCCATAATAATATATATTTAAATATATGTGTGTGTGTAAAACGCCAAAAAAAACCTAACAAAACACCAAAAAACCTAATTTAAAAATAAGCAAAAGACTTGAATAGACCTTTCTCGAAAGAACAGACACTTCTCCAAAGAAAATAAACAAATGACTAGTAAGCACATGAAAAGAAACTCAACATCATTAACCATTAAGCAAATGCACACCTAAAATACAATTAAATTCCACCTCATACCAATTTGGATGGCTACTACTTAAAAAAAATAATGTCAGCAAGCATATGAAATTTGAACACTTTTGTACCACTGGTGGAAATGTAACATGATATAGCTACTATGGAAAATTTGTCTGGCAGTTCCTCGAAAAGTTAAATGCAGTATTACTACTGATCAGCAATTCCATTTCTGGGCATATAAGTGAAAAAATTAAAAACAAGATCTAAAAGATATATTTAAACACCTAAGTTCAAAGCAGTATTAGCCACAGTAACCACAACACAAAATAATACAAGTGTCCATCAACAAATGAATAGGTAAAATGTGGTATATACATACAATAGAACATTATTAATACTTAAAAATGAAGGAAATTCTGAGATATGCTACATCATATCTTGAAGACATTATGGTAAGTGGAATTAGCCAGTAACCAAAAGACAAATATGTATGATTACACTGATATGAGATATTTAGGAGTAGTCAAAATTATAGAGGCAAAGAGTATAATGCTGGTGGTCAGATTTAGGGGACAATTGAGGAGTTATTGTTTAATGGATACAGAGTTCCAGTTTTGTAAGATGAAAAGAGTTCTAGAAATGGATGGTGGAGATTATTGAACAATATGAATTATTTAATACCATTGCACTGTATACTTAAAAATGGTTAAGGTGGTACATTTAGTGTTATGTGTATTTTACACTACAAAATTGAAAAAATATAATTAGCACAAAATTAATATTAAACAAATTCAAGGCTCTACAGATTTATTCCCAAAAGGTAAATATCAAAATTTTWAAAAAATTGTAATGCTGACAAAAATTCTTTTTAAGAACCTGCTAGTTGCTTGTGATTTTAAGTTTTCTTCTAAGAAACAGAAAAGGACCCCATAAATGTACAACGTGATTGTCTCAAAGGTGAGGGATTGTGATGTTCTGACCCTCTTCACCTTTGAAATAAGGCAAATCTCCTTCATTTGAAGGCAGTACATATATGAAGACACGAATGGTGTGAAAATACTTGGTGTACAATCAGTGACTTGAAAAATTGTGCTCTATATGTGTAACATGAAATGAATTGCATTCTGCTATCGTGTATAACAAGTTAGAATAAATAATTTAAGGCAGATCTTCCTATGTCTGGTCCCAAAACTAAATAAATAAGGGTGTAGATGGTTTGGACCTTTTTAACAAAACAAAACAAAAATCCTCACTGAGAGAGAGCTAAAATGGATAGGAGTAACATCTGAAGGTTGTTTAGCATTGATGGAAGGAAAACAAATTTGATATTCTGAAACTTCGGCCTAAATAGTTGTTGAAGTATCAAGTCAAGACCAGCCTAGAGAAGAAAGACATCTGTATTTTAGGCAACATAATAAAACAATCGGCTGAAACGTAAACGCTTTGATTAAGGTCTGACTCCCCTTCAACCTTTGGTGTGGATGTCAGGAAAGAGCAGCTCTGGGACACCCATTGTGCCTATAGTTTGGAGAAGACCTTCAAGCTAAGAACCTCTTGAGAAAAGACAGACCTTACTTTTCACTTATGCACTCACGATGACTGACACTCCCGAGATGTTCTGTGCAGGTTCAGTAAAAGTTCAATGAGTCGCCAGAAACTCACTCGCAATCTCTCTCTCTCTCTCTCTCTCTCTCTTTCTCTCTCTCTCTCTCTCTCTCACACACACACACACACACACACACAGATTTTTGTCCTCTCATCACCGTGTTAAGGCTAAGTGATTCTTTTGAGAAGGGTGAGAACCTTCTATACAGAGCTGCATTATTCTGAGCGATGCTCGCAGAGAGGCCCAACCTTACTTCTTGGGCCTTTGAAAGAGGCTCTGGAAAGGACGGCAAGTCAGGCACCACCCTCTGCCCAAAGCCTCTCTAGACTCCCAGAGTTCTCGGTCGCTCACCTTCTCCGAGTCCTTGCCAAAGGAGGAGCTCCAGTATTCCAGCCCCTCCTTGAGCTCCTTGATATCCACCACGCCGTCCCCGTTGCGGTCCAAGTCTTCGAAGAGGATCTGGTAGCGGAAGTAATCATCCTCACTCTGACAGGCCGCCGCGGGCAGCACGAAGCCCCGCAGCCAGCGAAGCATTGCGGGTCCGTTGGCGGCCAGGACCCCCGCGACTGCGCCACCTGCCGCCGCCTCCTCGACGCCAGGCTGCCCAGGGCTGCGAATCTGCGCCAGGGCCGTGCGGGCTGCAACCGCCTGGCAGAGCCGTGGCGGTTCGGAGCTGCCTCGGGCCTGGGAGCCCGCGCTGGCCGCCTCTCCGACGCCGCTGAGAAGACCCCCTGCGGAACCTGGGGAGCACCAGGGTGGGACGCTGGGCCCAGGCGCCCCGGGAGAGTCGTCCCGTCCCGGAAATTGGAAGTGGAAGCTCCCAGGGCTGCAGCAGCAGGGACCCAGCATGGTCGGCAGGAAAGTGGACGCCCAGCCCAGAGAAGTTTGGGGGACCCTGAAAGAGGCCTTTGGAGATCTACAATCTCCTGGTACAAACTCAGTGCTTCAGCCAAGTGACTGCGGCTGCGAAGCCGAACTGAGGGGTGGGAAGCGCGGATCTGCTCCCAGGGGTCAGGGAAGACTAGCACCTAAGGATCTGGACCCCGCTGCCCCTCCTGGACAGGTCTGAAGACTGGAGGAAGGAACCCTTGTTCCTGTCCTCTGCCGGTGTTTTTCCTCATCTTCACATGACACTTCTCTTCTTGAGGATTACTCTTTTCAACCACACCACCACCACCTGCCTTAGGCAACTTCCATATCCTGAAATACAAAGGACACTTTTAGATGCTGCCTTCTCCTTTGTCACCACACACCTCTGCCACTCCCTGACCTCTCATAAGCTCATTCTCAGGTTCCTTCAAGGGCCTGTGAGCCTTGAGAACTTTGATAGATGGGCTTCAGGGTTTATATAGAAAACTAGTTCTGCAACGTGTTTCTCTTAAGGCACAGAAATCATCTCCAAGTGGAAGAGCCTCCTGGAGAACGACTAGATCCTGTCCCACAACAATCAGGACCTCTCCGCAGATGCCTTTCACAGGTACCTGGCCCGTGCCGGGCTCCTGGCCTGGTGGTCACTGGAGGCAGGGGACAGAGGAGGTGCTGTCCGTGTTAACCTGTTGTGCACTGGTTCTGCTCTGGGAATTTAAACCACTCTCCAGTTGCTCAGCCTGGTTGTCAAGTGTCTGTTCAGGGCCACCCACATGCCTGGTGCTGGGCCTTGCCTGGAGGACTGCAGCCAGCTCTGGTCCATGGTGCAGCCCACTGAATAGAAAAGAAAAGCTTAAAGGCATCCATGACATTTCCCTCTCCCTCATCTTACACATACAAACCACCAGCAATCAAGTTTTCTCTCCACATGTCTCTTGAATCCATCCCATTCTCTCCACACTACCAGTCTCCAAACTACCATCATCTTTGCCTAGATTGCTGTAGTAAACTATTACCAACTCTTTTTATTTTTTCCATGCCTTAACCAGAATGAACTTTTAATAATGCAAAACTTATTGTTACTCTCCCACTTCAGTAATTACCATTAGGCTTAAAGACAGTATGATCCAGCCTCTGTCCCCTCTCCACACCTCACTCAGACCACTCACTTTCTGTACTCCAGCCATATAAGCTACTTTTCCCTTTCTCAAGTGTCCCATGCATGTCTCTTCAGACAAATGGCACATGGTTTTCCTTTTGCCTGAATGTTATTTCTTGCATCTTTGCCTTTTTAATCCCACCTCAACCTTCATTTCCCAATTCAAGCAGTGCTTCCCCAAGAAAGACCCCTCCCTTACAGCCTGTAGAAAACTCTGCCTTTGTAGCACTTATCATAGTTTATAACTAAACATCTGTGTAGAGAAATTTAATTAGTATTTATCTTCCCTACTAGAAATCAATTCCATGAGAGCAGGGACCAATGTCTCTTTTTGTTTACCTGATCACCATATGTCTGCCACATTGCACAGTGCCTAGCAACATAAATTCTTAAACTCTAGCTAGCATTTTTCTCTCTAACTCTTCTATCAGAATCCTTAAATTGAGTCAAAATTAGTAGAGAACTGAAAAAGTATCCTCTGTTTTACTCTAACCATCTCTATCCTTCTCCCACCCCACTCACAAATTAAATAATCCCTCTAAAATCTAGAAAAGTTCCCTTGAAAATTTAGAAAATATTTATCTGGCCATAGAATTTCTTAAAGAATGTTCTATATGCATTTTTTTTATCAGAAGCTATACATTTACTCCAATTTCTATAATTTTGTAAAGGTATATGAAACATGATTATTTTCTTCTAGTGGTAAACCCACTTTGATCATTGATTTTCTTTCCTCAAATTATTTTGAATATTATAAATGTCAGAAAGAAAAGCACAATGAACATTTGTATACTTACCTCCTATATTAAAAATGGGACATTTTGCCATACTTAATTTATGTTTCTTCCTCTTGCCAACCTATACACATATGTAAATTTGTATCTGAGACATCTCTTCCTGTCACTCTTAAGTACCYCAACATCTCCTAAAAGTAAGAACATAGCTTATACCTTCAAAATGTCATAATTACATCTTATAAAATTAAAATTCTCAAATTCTCAAATGTCCAAAAAATGCCACTTAGCTTTTTCCTTTTTTCCTGGCAAAATACTAAATATATTTATAAGTAATCTTAACAAACAAATGAAAGAGAAACAGGTGCAGAGGGGAAGTGGGAAAAGATGGGAGAGGAGATCTAAAAGTTCCAATCCTTCACATAAGACAGAAGGCATCTCTGATGGCAGCACTGAAGCAGTCAGCTGTGCCAGGTGGACTGTCTTGGTTTGCAATAAACCAATTATGTCCCAACAGGAGCCTCAAAGCCTTGATCCTCACTGCTCCAGGGAATCCAGGTGGGATTTTGACTATTGCTGCTGTTGCTCATTGTGTTCTTGGCTGGTATGTGAAATACTGCAACTTTAAGGAGTGCTGGTTATTTATCTGGTGATGTACATGTGCATTTGAGAAGAGGAACTGGACAGAACCCCATAAGGGGTTGTCAGCTTGGGAAGCTGGATGATTTAGGAAGTCCCAGAGGATGATCCTGTCATCATGTAACTAATGATAATCTGGAATTTATAAAACTGAAGTCAGAAAACTCTTCCAGAATGTTCCATAAGGGTCTGTAGACAGTCTCTGTAGGAGCATTGGGGGCCCAAAGCAGCCACAAGTTCCTAAACTTTAATTTTTCAACCAGAGTCCACACAGACTATCCTCTTGCTATCAAATCAAATATAATGCACCAATTCCTCATGGTCTTCTAACACTCTTAAACAGGCACCATGTCCTAAGTCCCATAATCTGATAGTGTTGTTCAACAAGCCACTCACCGCCAGCCTGTCTCTGTACTGCAAACAGACAATGTCTCATTTGTGTCCATTTAGAGCCGACAAATTCACACCCTTATAGTTGTGTCCAGATGCAGAAATAATGTACTTCTCATTAAAGTCTACAACACTGATAGCAGCTCGGTTCCAAACAGCAGCCTCTGGAAGGTAATAACATTAAAGGAAGCTAATGAATGGAGTGATCTTTGGAGCAGGTCCCATGATGCTATTCAAGTGCAGAACTGCTTCACAATGGTAAATCAATGTTTAGCATTTCACCTGTATTTACATTCTATACCCTGACCCTGGAATCTGATGATCCAGATACCAACACCCTCTCATCATACTGGAAGCATGGGACATAACCTGTGAGCTGTGAAGATTCACTTGAACTTCAAGTGAATGTGTATTTATCCATATCTTGATTGTGTTGTCTCAAAGGCTGCTTATTATTTTCTACTTGTCAGATTGTAACAGACTGTAAGAGTTGGGAGGAGCATTCCAATCAGAAGGTTTGTTTCTGATAAATACTGTCCCCACCCTCTTTATTTTGCTAGGCCTCTCCACAAAGAATCTGTCCTAACCATTGTCTTGATGAGCTTCTTTCAAAACATGCCATCCAACATTACTCAGTACCATTCTTTGAACACAAGTTCAGCAGCACAAAGTGATGTGGCATCCCAATCTGACAATGTTCTCAGCAATATGATCCAATCCTGAAGCTAGCAGAGCAGTTATGAAATCCCTTTGCAGCATTGGTTTAAGATATCGGTTTATGTGCCCACATTGGTAAAGACACATTTGAGATATAAGATGTTCCACAAACTCAATTTAATCAGACTCAGACCACTGCTCAAAATATTTGACCACAATTCCTTTTCCTTTTCATAGGTTGCTGAGTTTCCACTTGTTAGGGAAACCATACTGGAAGTGTCACTGGCAAGTTTTGGCCACATAATTTTCAGCCTTCAAAGCAATGCTTTCTAGACAAACTGTTTCTTGGATTAAGCAGAGTGGCACAACTGTTGTAAGTCTTTTGAGGTAGAAGCAGCAGTGAACAAAAAAAATTCAAAGAATTCATCAAGAGTGTCCTTTATTTCTAAGTTAATTCTTCTCTGGTATTACTTCCTGTGGGGAGTTGCCATTCTTACAGTCTTCTCTCTCTGTGGAATTCATAAACTTGAACACTTCCTCCTACATCAATGTCTGGGCTGGGTCCATAATTGCTGGGACCACTGAGTCTGCCCTCCACCAGTCCACCCCTTAGTGCTAGGCCACAGCCAACACAGTAAGRGAAAATGTAATTTTATTTTAATTTTGTGATCATCAACAATACAAAGGATTAAAAATGGCATTCATATAATAGAATAATACACAACAAAGAAAAAGACTGCAGGCAACAACACAGATGACTCCTCCAGGAGAATGCATAGTTCTCAAGAACAGGCAAACTTGTTTRTCAATGGTGATAAAAACCACAATAATATATAGCTAGGAGTGGGGGCATTGATGGAGGAGCACAAAGCAACATTCTGGAGTGCTGGAAATGACTGTCTTCATATACTTAATGTTACATGATGAGAGTATATATTTGTAAAAATTCTTACAATTAACTTCCATTATATAGATATTTTTTGTAATATTTATTATCTTATTGAGCTGTTTTAAAGTAAAATAGACTGAGTGTATCTCATGTTGCAAAAAATATAGTCATTTTGATTTTCTTAGTGATCATAGCATAC